TGTTAAAAACAACAAATTAACAGAGACAGCAAAGAAGGTTTACAGCTCCTTCATTTGAAAAGGTTGATAAAGTCCGCTGACAATGTTGATTATAATTACTTTAAGCCATACGGTTTCTCATAGAAATCATCTTCTATTGTGATCTTGTTTTAAACCGTTCTTTCTAGAATAAACCTATGCAAAGAAAGCATGGTGTCAGGCAGGAAAGTGGGACCTTTTTATCCTCCCTCTGATATCACAGTGTACCTATTGGAAAGACCATGAGAAAGTTCCTGCATCAGTGAAAGAGGGAAACTTAATGAAATGGATCCAGCCTTCCCTGCAAGTCTGAAACAAACAGAAGAAATGCTCTTAGCACTGGGATGTAATGGGTTGTTTTGTTGTTGTTGAGGGAGGAGAAACAGGGTTTTACTCTGTCACCCAGGCTCTTCTCAAACTCCTGGTCTCAAGTGATCCTCGCTCTCCCAAACTGCTGGGATTACAAGCGTGAGCCACTGTGCCCAGCCTGATGTTTGGTTTTGAGGTGCCTGGAAGGGCACTACATTACTGTGGGGTCTGGGTGTCAAAATTCAACACAGTGGAAGAGGACAGGACCATCCCTACCTCGAGGATGGAACGAGGCATACCACACTCACATAGTCCACGCGCTTTTTCTCAACATAATTACCTTAAATTTCCCATTTCCTGGTTATTTGGTATGTGTGTGCGTGTGTACAAATGAGCAGATGTCTCTGCTGATTGTCTGATCGGCAGTCTGTAATTAGACCCCAAGGAACAACCTGCTCATTGCGGTTGGGGCCATTAGCCACTTAAATAATGACATCTGTCATAATTTTCATACCTCATCCTGTCCTGGATCTTATCTCCAAACTGCACTCAAAACAAATGCCTATGTTTTCTAAAATAGACCAATCCAATTTTTAATAGTTGTAGTCACCATCATGGTGGAGGATTTTAGGGTTGAACAATATCTAATAATTACTGGATACCTCCTATGTGCCTGGAATTGTATAAAGGTCTTTACAAACAGCATAAGACATTGAGCCCGTGCAAGAACTCTGTGAGGTAGGAAACTATTATTCTTCTCATTTTATAGATACAGAAATTATTAGACTGAGACACTGAGTTCAATAATTCACATCTAGAACTATTGAACTAGATAGGGGAACAGAACCGAAATTACTATTTAAGACTGTTGGTCGTCCATACTATTTACTGTTTTCATTTGGACTAGCTGCTATGCATCACTTGGCTGGTAAGGGAGACAGGGTCTTACTCTGTCACACAGGCTCTTCTCAAACTCCCGGTCTCAGTGATCCATCCACCTTGCTCTCCCAAAGTATATGCCCTGAGTATATGCTCAGAATATATTACAATGTGGAAAAAAGTGTAGGCAATCTAGTTTTGTATAAAGGGGGCCAAATTAAGATAATCTTAAAATAATGGAACATTTATAAAGTTCAGTGATTCTCAATGGGAGCAAACCCTCCTATCTCAGGGGGCCTTTGGAAATGTGTGGGGTCATTTGGGGTGCTTTTGGCTGTTATACTGGCCTGTTACACTGGGGTGGGGGCGTTCAGGGGGCTTTGTTTTAGACAATACAGACTCCTTGTCTGGCTCCAAATGTCAGATACTACTGAGAAACACTGATCAAGTGCAATGGTAGGAATTTGAAATGATACTTAAAACTCCAAGGTGGCAAACTCAAACGCCTTTGGGGTTAGTCAGGAAGTGATGATCATGTCCCATTTTAGGGGCATAGAATTCAAATCACTACAGCAACTTCATCAGACAAAAATCAGTTGTCAAATGTAGCCTGTGGATCGCCAGGTTAGAGCCTTTTAATGGGGGTTTTTCTGACTAAAAAACATGTTTACGACATATTAAGAGGAGAAAAAGCTAATAATCTGTATGATTCCCTGTTTTAAAGACATTGTCTCTGTGTATACACATATTCACATATATGCATACACTTACATTCATGAAAATATTTAGAAAATTTTCTGGAAGGATATGGATAAGATTTGGGGTAATTTTTTTTTTGGATTCAGTATCTCACTCAGTCACCCAGACTGGAGTGGAGTGGTATGATCACGGCCCAAGGCAGCCTCAACCCGGACTCAGGTGACCCTCCCACCTCGGCCGTCCCAGTAGCGGGGACTACAGGCATGTGCCAGGCACGCCCAGCTAACTTTTTTGTATCTTTTGTAGAGATGGGGTCTTGCTATGTTACCCAGGCTGTCCTTGACCTCCTGGACTCAAACAATCCACCCGCCTCAGACTCCCAAAGCGCTGGGGTTAGAGTTGTGAGCCACTGTGTCTGGCCCAATTTGGGGTGATTTTCTAAAACGCTTTCCTCATTCATATTTTTAATTCTTTGACTGCAAATGTCTACTAGTGGTGTACTTTTGAATAAATAAAGTAGAAGAGGAGCCTTAAAAAATTGAAAGCTTTGAGTGTAGTATTAGAATACAGCCCAGGCGACCTCCTGGCCACCCCCCTCAAGGGGAGAGTTGTGTCTGTGATTAAGGACAAATGAGACATTCAGTATCAATAGTCGACACCATTGTTGCTTTTCCAAACACGCAGGCCTAGCTTCTAGCCCCTTCCACACTTTCATTTCTACCGTACATACAATAAAGCTCTTCCGGTAAAACCCAGCCTTCTTTGTGCAGCTGTCCTGGGAGGGATCTTGAAGAACCCCAGATGCTTGAGAAATCAGGGTCAGTGCTGAATTTTATCTTAGGGGGTCTTATCCAACGTTAGATAAGAACAGGACATTTTCAGTACAGCTCTGCCCCTTTTCAATCAAGTCACCAAAACCTTCAAGATCACTGTTTTCTTTTTCTTTTTTTTCTGAAAAATCCCAGTTTTGCTTTATTGCAATCATGGCTGTGTTCTCTTTCCAGTGTGTTGACTCTACACTTTCTATTTTGTGCACAAGTCCCTTGTTTTGTTTTTTTTTTTTTTTTTTTTTGAGACAGGGTCTTGCTGTGTTACCCAGGCTGGAGTGCAGTGGCACCATCTCCATTCACTGAAGTCTCAACCTCCTGGGCTCAATCGATCCTCCCACCTCAGCCTCCTGAGTAGCTGGGACCACAGGCAAAAGCCACCATGCCTGGCTAATTTTTGTATTTTTAGTAGAGACAAGGCTTACTATGTTGCCCAGGCCGGTCAGGAACTCCTAGGCTCAAGTGATCTGCCCACTTCAGCCTCCAAAAGTGCTGGGATTACAGGGGAAAGCCATCCTGCCTGGCCAAGTCACTTTTGATTGAGCTTTCTTTGTGGAGTTTGCTGATCACTCGGCAATACTGGACTTTGTATCCATTTGTCTAAGGACTCTGGGGAGGTGAGAAACAGGTAATTTCCTGGAGTCGTTTCTGGCTTGCTGCCTGGGTCAGTCCCCAGGGTCCCTCCTTCATGTCTCCCTGCAGCCTTCCTTGCCAGCAGCTAGTCACAGCTCTCCTACAGAGAGCTGGGTCAGTCCCCAGGGTCCCTCCTTCATGTCTCCCTGCAGCCTTCCTTGCCAGCAGCTAGTCACAGCTCTCCTACAGAGAGCTGGGTCAGTCCCCAGGGTCCCTCCTTCATGTCTCCCTGCAGCCTTCCTTGCCAGCAGCTAGTCACAGCTCTCCTACAGAGAGCTGGGTCAGTTCCCAGGGTCCCTCCTTCATGTCTCCCTGCAGCCTTCCTTGCCAGCAGCTAGTCACAGCTCTCCTACAGAAAGAACCCAGAAGTCCTGCTGATAACAAGGTGACGTGGTGCTGCTTGGCACTGCAGGGGTGGGTGCGGGGATGAATGGAGAGAGGGCTCCAGCATAGACAGGAAACAGAATTCTCCCATCTAGAAAACCGCTGTTTTTCACCCCCAACCCACCCCTTTCACATGTTGAAGTGGTACGAAATGAGGAACTCATGTCTGGATTCTGAATCCACTTTTATAAACCAAACTAAACAAATCTCTGGGAGTGAAAATGTTAAGTGCACTTGACTCATTAAGGTTCTTTGGGAGAAGTGTCCAGAATGTATCCTGCAGGGAAGTGGGGACTGAAGTAAGTATGATGGGTGAATCGGGCACGTGTCGCGCCCAGTGTTGGACCTCCCTCCAAAGCACAGCCATTCCCAAAGACTAGCTCCTTGCACTGCATTTGAAGCGTGTTGGGTAGGCGATGCTAATTTTCTCTCCTGAGGTTTCCAAGCGGCAAACCCCTGCAGCCCTGGAGATGCAGGGAGGGCGAGCCCTGAACCCTCCCTCCCCATCACTTCCTTTTCTCTCTCTCCGGATTCCTGGTGCAAGTTTTGATCCTAGGAAGCTCCAGCCTGAGAACTACTACAAATAAAAACAAAATTTCCAGGACCTCTTGCACTGTCTTTAGCATCTGGAAACCTTGATTGGGAAAATAAGCCTTAAGGCAGTTAAAGCGTTTCTTGTTTGTTTGTTTGTGACGGAGTCTCACTCTGCCGCCCAGGCTGGAGTGTGGTGGCGCCATCTCAGCTCACTGCAACCTCTGCCTTCCAGGTCCAAGTGATTCTCCCGCCTTAGTCTCCCAAGTAGCTGGGATTACAGGTGTCCGCCACCAACCCTGGCTAGTTTTTGCATTTTTAGTAGAGACAGGGTTTCACCATGTTGGTCAGGTTGGTCTCGATCTCCTGACCTCAAGCGGTCCACCCACTTTGGCCCTCCAAAGTGCAGGGATTACAGGCGTGAGTCACTGAGCCCAGCCTAAAGGCTTTTTAAGTTTTATGCGGTAGGATGGTGGGTGGGTGTGAGACCCCATCTCAGTGCTCAGTAAATATCATACAAAAGGCTTAGAAATTATTGTGCCTTTGTGTATAGAAAATGCCATATTCAGCATCATGTAGATGGAACTCATAAACTGACTTTTTAAAGAAACATATTCGTGAGGGTATAATAGCATCCGCAGTCCAATGAAGCTGTGTGGTATGTGACTGCATGGCATGTGTGCCTGTTTGCATGCATTTAAGATTTGAACTCCTTCACAGAATCTATGCCAGTTTATTCACTCAAGGAGGGCCCCTTCACACAGGTGAAGGCTCTCTGGGAGCAGAAAGGAATGGGTCCCTTCACACACGTGAAGGCTCTCCGGGAGCAGAAAGGAATGGGCCCCTTCACACAGGTGAAGGCTCTCTGGGAGCAGAAAGAAATGGTCGAGAGCTTAGGCTTTAGACTTAGAGCTCAAATTCAGTCTGGACCACTTGCTACCTGTGTGACCTCAGACATCACCCACCTCTCTGAATCTCAAGTCACTTGTTATGAAAAGGTGGATAGTCCTTTCCGGCAGTGATGACCCACTCATGAGAACGCGCCTCTCGCAAAGGTTTTCCTTCATCCCTCTCCAGAAGAGGAGAGGAAACACAGGAAGAAACGCCTGGTGCAGAGCCCCAGTTCCTCTTTCATGGATGTGAAGTGGCCAGGATGCTGTAAAATCACCACGGTCGTCAGCCAGGCACAAACGGCAGTTTCGTGTGTTGGCTGCTCCACTGTCCTCTGCCAGCCTGCAGGAGGAAAAGCAGGGCTTACAGAAGGATGTTCTTTCAGGAGGAAGCAGCACTAAAACACTCAATCAAGATGAGTGGGCAACCATCTCAATAAGCACATTTTGGATTTTTAAAAAAGGCGGATAGTTATAGCTATGGCCCTCATAAGAATAGTTGAGTGAATTGGGTAAGATGTGGGGGGCATGCCAGGGGCTCAGCACTGTGGTGGGCACCAAGTGGCTATTAGATACTAATATTGTTCCTGCCTATTTTGTAGGCTTAAAAACTGAAATATTGGGAGAGGAAAGCAGCTGATCCTCAAGTAGCTGAGTTTCTCCGAGGGAAATTTATTTCGAGAGCCCTGGAGTCCTGAGCAGCTCGTGACCTCTTGCAGATCTCCAGGAGAACCCTGCCGGTGGCACTGCTGAGAGACGAGGTCCCAGGGTTGTTCCTGAAAGTGCCTGAGCCCCAACTTATGAGCAAGGAGCTGGTCATGCTGACAAAGTGAGTGGGCCCAGGAAAGGCAGGAACAGGGTTCCCTGCAGGCTAATTGGCAGAGCTGGCTTCCAAGCACATGTACCACCCTTCCTGGCTGTCCCAGCCTTATCGTCTGGAAAGGCAAAGGGACCTACCCTGGGATGGGCAGCCAGATGTCTGCCTCCAGCTGGGACAAGGATAGAGTTGCAGTTGTAGTCACAGCCCTGCCATCTCTGACTTTGCCCCTTTTCCTTTCCCAACAGAGTCATGGAGCTCTGGCATGGCTTAGTGATTGCGGCGGTGTCCCTCTTCCTGCAGGCCTGCCTCCTCATCGCCTTCAGCTGCCTGCTCAGCAGGCACATGGGTAACCGGCCCAGCATCCTCTTCCCTCCTAGTCACTCTCAGAGCCTGCAGCAGGACAGGACCCCTTTGGAATGCCCAAATGTCACTCAAGAACCAACCAGAGGACCCACCAGCCAAATCCTTCCCCGCTTTCATCCCCCACCCCCAACTGTAACTGGGTAATCCCCACTCTGACCTCACCTTTTATCCAGTGATTTCTGGCTGGAAGTGACCACCCACATCCTTCCACTACCCAGACCTTCAGCCTAGACACAGCTTCTGCAACACCTGTGAGGAAGTGTCCATGTCACCTGGGTCTAATTAATTTTCTTCATCACTGCCAAGGGACTGAACATGAAGAAATGGCCTTGAATTACAACAGAAGGCAATATAGTTGGACTTAGAGATTAGTTTAAATTCTCGAACTGACTTACAATAGAAGGTAGTGAATCTCGGTCCTGGAAAGGCATTTCAATTAGGGAAAATAAAATAATACTGCTTTGGTTATGCTAAGAGAAAGGATTGGGCAAGATGATGTTTTGAGGGTCTTCCTAGTTAAGTCTAGCTTTATTCATTCATTTGTTCATTCATTTATTCAACAGATATTTCTTAAGCATCTAAGACACTCTCTGGGCCTAGGCTGTACAATGGGAAACAAAACAAAAGTTCCTACCCTCTGAATCTTTCATTCTACATGACAGCGAACAAGATAAACAAGTAAAATGTGTATGCTAGGGTACGGCAAGTGGTAGGGAGGAAAAATGGAGCGAGGAAGTAGAATGGCTTGGCGGATGCTGGGCATCCCCGAGATGCTAACCTTTGGGTCTAAACTTACAGGGAGTGAGGAGTGAACTCTACCTGCACAGGCCTGAAGGAGAAACGTGTTAGGCACACACTAGTGAGAGCAAAGAGGCAGGGCACCTGGAGCGGGCGGAGAGAAGCAGGAGAAAGCCAGAGAGGAGGGAGGAGGGAGGCCTCGGAGGCTGGGACTTGGCTTTTTCCAAGTGGGGTGCAGATCCACTGGAGGGTTTTGAGCACAGCAGTGCTGAGATTTGAAGGGATCTTTCTGAAAGGTTTGCCATACTGAGGGTGTGTTCAGAAGGTACTGATTCCAGAGCCAGCGTGCCCAACCCAGGCAGCTTCCACTTTTTTTTTCTTTTTGAGATGAAGTGACACTCTGTCTCCCAGGCTGGAGTGCAGTAGTAGCACAATCTCGGCTCACTGCAACCTCTGCCTCCCAGGTTCAAGTAATTCTCTTGTCTCAGCCTCCAGAGCAGCTGGGATTACAGGCACACATTACCACACCCATCCAGCTAATTTTTGTGTTTTAAGTAGAAATGAGTTTTCACCATGTTGACCAGGCTGGTCTCAAACTTCTGACCTCAAGTGATCTGTCCACCTTAGCGTCCCAAAATGCTGGGATTACAGGGGTAAGCTACTGACCCCCACTCCCCTGCCAGCTTCCACTTTTGACCCCTGCCCTCTCCTCTCTAGCCCACCAGAGTGAACAGATACTAAAAGCGACCAGGCTCCAGGTCCCCAGGCCCAGCCCTGTCTGCCATCATCCACCTGCTGCCAAAGAGATGGAGACTCAGACAGAGATGGACGCCCTAATGTCTGATCCCTGTTTCAGGCGTGAGTAAGGGGTTGTGGGGAGAACTTGTCTCGGGGCTTGCTTTGCTCTGTCTGGACACCCAGGACCTCCCTGTGGCAACCCTGGGGGCCCAAACCTCGAGCCTGAGGATTCCTCCCACCCTCATAAGGACAGGCCTTGCCAGCCTACTTTTTTCAGAAAGGTGTTTTATTCTGTCTCATGGGGAAGATCCTGCTGGGTTGGTGTGGGTCTCAGTTCTTTCCTGGGTTAAGTCGTGTGCAAATGATTGCAGGGGCCTTGGGAAATGTCCCTGCTCTTCTCTTTGTGTAGCCATGGCATCTTTTCTTCTGCTTGATCAGCTAATGGTGGAGTTAGAATTTCACCTGCCTCTGCCTGCCTCCACCACGGCTGCTGCTAGGTCACGGTTCTCGGCTGGCTCCGGAGCTGGCTCCTCCACAGTCCCCAGAGGGACCCTTCTTCATGCTCTTAGATCTGCATGGGTAACTGAGTGTATAAATGTGAGTCTTGCGCTGGTTCAAGTCTGTATCACCCTCCCGCAAGTGAGCCAATAGGTCACTGTTAACAGCGGAAATGGCGGCTTTGGCAGCAAGACATCTCCCTGATGGGGGCTCACTCACCAGAGATTGCACTTTTTCCACTGGTTTATCTCTTGATTGGTTTAAATTTGCCCTGTCCAGATTTTATCTTTTCAGCTGAGGCACAGCCTCAGTGCCTGCCTGTGGGGACCCGAGGGAGCTGCTCGTGTGCATGCAGTGTTTCAGCAGAACGGAGAGGCACTGGCCTTACCCTAACCCCTGGCTCCAAAGCTTCACTAGAGCCTGGCTAGAGTCAGAGATTGTTCAGCTGACCAGGACCTCAGAGACCATTGCTCAACCCTCTTGTCTTCCGGGGGATGAAAACCAGGACACAAAAAGAGATGTGATCGGCCTAGATCTAGTGACAGCTTTGGACTAGGTGTGACTTCTGAGGCCAGAAGAGCTGTTTGCATTGGGCCACATTGTCCCAGTGTGTCTCTCCTGACTTTTCTTTCTGGAAGACAGCCCTTTCCAAGCACAGTCAACGTAGTGTATTTTTTTAAATTAGTTTTGGATGGAGTTGAATGAAGCAGCAGTGCCTGGACCCCTGGACATGTCCCTGCCTATTTTTGGAGACTTTCTCTCCCCTGACTCTTTCCCTATTCTATTTCTCCGTCTTACTCTTTTGGGGCATCTGTATCTCTCTTCCCTATCCCCCTTTGTGTTGCTGGCTCTGCCTTTGTCATTATCTGATAATAAGACAGTTCTCCCTTCCATTGTCTCTATTCTCTCTTAACACCCTGTGGCTTGCTTTGGAAGAGAAACCATGTCTATTTCTCCCCAGATGACAGCGACACATCCTTAGATAGCTCAGATGGTTCCTGCAGTTCGCCTCCCGTCTGCCAGGTAATGGATGTGCCTAGTGATCACAGACCAACATATGCAGTCTGAGGATTCCTGCTGTAAAACGCTGAGAACTCAGGTTACCCCAGCTATGGAGTGGGAGCCAGAAAGGAGGGCTTCTTGAGTCATAACAGCATCCTTAGGTGAGGGGGTCAGGCCTCCGCCCACAACCCATATGAGCATGGATCACCCAAACAAGGCAGGTCTGAACAGACTATGAAAATGAAAGTGCTAATGGGAAACCTTCTTCTCCCCAAACCCCAGTGACTGGCTAAAGTCTGCTCTGAGTCCTGACCTCACTTGAATTGAGTCTCAGCATCTTATCTTCCTGTTGCCTCCACCTGCTTGTCTGTAAGGCCATTCCTTGCAGACAGGTGGAACGAAGTCACTGGTAATCTTCCTCATTGCCCTGGACTGCTCTCAGACACATCTGCTTGGACCCAGATCCTTTTACACCAAGCTATGGGCAAAGCTCTTTGAGTGAGAGTTCAGTCCTGGGGTCTTATTTTCCCCGAAGGTGGTAGGGATATTGACCCACATGTCTCTGCTTTTCTCCTAAGGCCACCAACCACATGGATTACACACAAGTCATCTTTTCGGCCCCTGGAGAACTAAAAGATGACTCTGCCCTGGACTATGAGAACATAAAGGAAGTCACAGATTATGTCAATGTCAAGCCAAAAAGCCACAAGCCCAGTTTCTGGAATTTTGTCAACCCTGCTCTGTCTGAGCCAGTGGAATACAGTCAAGTGGCCATGTGAATTCCGGCTGTTTTTAATGGGGTCCAGTTCTCTATGGATTCTTACCTTTAATTTGTAGAGGAACGCCATTTTTCCCCTTAAACAAAGCATGGGGCTCCCAAGGCTATGGAGACAGGCAAAAAGAATGTGGAGAAGAAAACCAACAATACACAGAAGTCCTCAGCACCCGTGGCCTCCCGGTCTGCACCCAATAAAGGCTGTTCATCGCTCAAAAACCCAAAACAAGGCTTAGGTGGGAAAACAGGCCTATGCCCCGGCAAGAAAGATTCAGATCAGATGGATGTTAGGAGGAACTTTCAGTTAAGATATGAGAACTGTGGAGTCCGTCTGCAGAGTTAGTGGTGAAGTCTCTCCCCAGGGAAAATTTTAAAAAGTTTAATCAGCTGTGGTAGAGTTCTTTGTGGCAAACACGTGGTTAAATGACTTATCTTTGAGCACTTTAATTATTGGCAATAAACAACTTCTTTAAAAGTTTTAAATAAAATAGCAACTACCAACCAGTTCCTCTTTTTCTGCTGCCTAACCCTGAAGCTGTCCTTGTTTTCAGTGGTTTATTTTGCTGAGTAATCCTCCTCTGCCCTCAGAACTTTAAACATTGTATTTACAAAGCCCACCATCAATCAACCTTTGAATTTGCTGTTCCTTATAAGCCAAAGATGACAAATGGAATTCTGGTAAATATCCACCAGCATCATAATCTCTTATTCCAAGAAAAATCTCCCAAAACTCAATACAATAAAGTTCAGGATTCATTCCTGTTTTTTTTTTTTTTTTTTAAGGCAATTAGGAATACAGGGACACTTTCTAAGTCAATTATTGTCTCAAATCAGGAGGTTACATGATATTTAACTGTAAGCTCCTAGACACAATCCTATTAAGTCAGAAACAAAGTAGGAATGTCCACAAGCCTGCCATTTGCTCTGTTATGTAACGTTGTTCTAGAAGTTTTAATCAGTGTGATAAAACAGTTAACAAAAATACGTACTATAAAAAAATTAGAGCCAGGCACAGGGGAGCATGCCTGTGATCTCAGCAATTTGGGAGGCTGAAGCAGGTGGATCACTTGAGGTCAGGAGTTTGAGACCAGCCTGGCCAACATGGTGAAACCCTGTCTCTATTAAAAATACAAAAATCAGCTGGGCATGCTGGTGGGCACCTGTAATCCCAGCTACTCAGGAGGCTGAGGCAGGAGAATCACTTGAACCCAGGAGGCAGAGGCTGCAGTGAGCTGAGATCACGGCACTGCACTCCAGTCTGGGGGACAGAGCGAGACTCTGTCTCAAAAAATATATATGTATTAGAAATGAGGAAACATTGTCATCCTTTGCAGATATCCTAGCCCTAGAAAACCACAAAGAATTAAAATGCTTTAAACTTGATAACATGCAATAACTAGCAACTAGAGTAATATTTTTTTTCCAACAGCTAATTAAGACATGAAGTGAAAAGAAATTCTGGCATAGTAGCTGAACAGACATGCCCCCAAACCTGAAACCGTAGGGTTACTCCTAGCCAAATTCAAACCCCAGATCAGTGGCATTCAGGTCTTAGACACCTGAGATCTATTATTAACTGTGCTCCATCTGCTGGCTGTGGATGACCCTCCCAGCCCTGGCACTCAGAGCAGTAGACAGGCTTTCCTCCTCCTGAGTTCTTCCCCAGGATGATCGAAGGGGATGATTCCGGTTTGGGTTTCTGAGGTTGGAAAATGCTACTGGTCTGTTTGTCCTTTCACCTTTTAGCTACCATGGTCCTTCCTCTACTTACAAAGCTTTTCTTAATGGGTTACAGGAGAGTCTACTGATTAGACAGGCAGAATGAAAAATAAATACCAAGAATAATATAAGCAACATTGTCTTATCAAGAAGTGAAACTCGGCTTCTTATTGATTTCTTCTATTTATTCATTTATAGAGACAGGATCTCACTCTGTCACTCAAGCAGGAACATGATCATGGCTCAGTATAACCTCAAATTCCTGGGCTCAAGTGATCCTCCTGCCAAAGCCTCTCAAGTAGCTGGGACTAGAGGTGCATGCCATCATGCCCAGCTAATTTAAAATTTTTTTTAGGGGGTGTCTCACTATGCTGCCCAGGCTGCTCTTGAACTCCTGACCTCAAGCGATCCTCCTAACTCAGCCTCCCAAAGCACCGGGATTAGGCATGATCTACTGCACCTGGCCTGATCTCTTTTAAAAAGGAAAAAAAAAAAAAAAAAAAAAGACCAGGCGCAGTGGCTCATGCCCATAATCTTAGTACTTTAGGAGGCTGAGGTGCGCTGATCATTTGAGGTCAGGAGTTCAAGACCAGCCTGGCCAACAGGGTGAAACCCACCTCTACTAAAAATACCAAAATTAACTGGTTGTGGTGACTCATGCCTGTAATCCCAGCTACTCGGGAGACTGAGGCAGGAGAATGGCTTGAACCCGGGAGGCAGAGGTTGTAGTGAGCTGAGACTGCACCATTGCACTCTGGCCCGGGCGACAGAGCAAGACTTCATCGTACAAAAAAAAAAAAAAAAAAATTCAGGAGTATGCTGAAGCAATTCAGGCAAGTTACAGTGCATCCAAGAGACACTGCAAGGACACTGCTGAGACAGTTTCCACCGGGAGAGGGGACAATGGGGGTAAACAGAGTGCCTGCTTTCTGCAGAATTCTGGGACAGGCCTTGAGTGTTGAGAGGAGAGATCAAGAAAAAGAAGCTTTAACCATCTGGGCTCATCAGGGTGGTCAAGGCACCTATGACCTAATTGTGGGGACAGGAAAGAGCCAGAGAACATGTACAAAACAACACGTAACAAACAGCACAAAGCAGTGAAGCCAGAGCCTATCAATGTTCACACAGATCAGGGAATAGGGTGTTAGAATCAGGTAGCCTTAAAAGGAAACATCCGAGAAAGAGGTGATTTCTGACCTCAGCTTAGGAAAGAAGGTGGCAAATCAACTGACGGGAGAAAAGGCGGAAGGGAAAGGAACAGATCTGACCTGCTACAGGCTCTCAATAAATGCCTGAGGGACGGCCCAGAGAGGAACTGTCTGGAGAACTGTCCCTGTCTGGGTTCAGAGGCTGCTGTGATACTCTGGAGCAGGGAGTTGGTGTCAGGGGGACCAGAGGCTGTAGAATGACCATAGACCATCTGATGAAGCTTTATAATAAAGTCTGCTTCAGAAATATGACATTTTGTAGGCTCCAGCCCTACTAGGGTCGTGGAGTGTCCCCTATTGCTGTGCTGAGGCGCTGGATCCAAGAAATAAGGAGACAAAACACCAATGGACTGGATAAGAGCAGCTGGGCTCGGGGGCCAACGCCACTTACGAGCAGAGACAGGCGAGGCCCCGAGTGTCCAGGCACATCTGTATTTATTAGATATAGGTTAGGAAGGGCAGTGAGTGAGGTCATCTTAAGGATAGTGATAGGGCCAAGACAATCATGTGAGTAATAAACAAGGGGCCCATCCCCATTAGGTCACTGAGGCCAGGAGTGACGGTCACTGAGGCAAGGAGTGACCTAATGGGGATGGGCAGTGTGCAGCAGGAAGGGTGCAGTGTGCAACATCTCTTATCTAGGGGCAGGCAACTTCTAAGGTTTTCTATAGGAGGATGTTTTGAGTCAGCACAGTAGCAGGAGAGTTGGCAGGGTATACAGCCAACGAGGCGCGATTGTACTGGAGGGGTTTTAAGCCCTCAGAGGTTCATGGGATTGCCGGCCTGAGGCCAGCTTTCCACAAGAACTGGACACAAGATACTACAGCTGCCTTGCAGGAGGAGTGACTCTTGCTCCAAGCCTGCCATACAGTGGATATCCTTACGATACTGAATGCTGCCGCCAGGGCCGGCCCACCGTGCATGCCCTTTCAGACAGGGGCACTACTGCCTGGGCCATTGATTCTTGTTCTGGTATGGCTGATTCTTCCCTAGTTGATGCTCTGTACCGTGTCTGCTCTTGACAATCCTCTGACTACAAACTAAGATATGATCATATAAAAGGATTATATAAAAGGAAATAAATGAGCAGTAGGTTATTCTTCAGGCACTAATTGTGCCAGGGGTCTGCTTAGCTCTCCTTCCTTGGTGCCCAGAAGGGGGGTTACCCACACATTTGATAGCAAATATATCATAGAGGCTAACATTAGGACCCACCCTGATTGCTTACATCAGGGTAAAAGCATTCTTGGAGAGTGTTGTTGAACAGTAGATTGGAACATATGAGTCTACCAAGTGACTTACAGAGCTTGGAACTTCAGCAGTGCACACAACTGCTCAGATGCCCTCATAAGTACAGAGGAAGGCTGATGTCACCTCCTCAGGAGTTTGAACCAATAGGCTGAGGACTGGGGTCAGCTAACAGTTTGACCTAATCCTCAAAGTCATTGCAAGCTACCTAGAAATAAAATGGACTTTTGTTTTTCATATTTCCATGAGCTTCAAGGGTGAGCTGTCGAAATCAGTACAGAGAGTCACCTGTATGAGTAAGCACCCTTTGAGAGCACAGCTTCCAGTTCAATGAAGTCACATTCTCCCATGTTATATGATGGAGAAGGTACCTCCCGGGAACAATCATATTGCTTCGCACTGGGTTTCTCCATGGACATGGACAGGACACAGATTTTTTCAAAATTATCTGATAATAAAACACAGAAAACTGATTTGCTATTGGCAACCAGTAGATGGTTGATTACATACCCACAATGACCCAGGACTTCAGACCCATAGACCATGATAACTGTGACCTGTCTTCAACGAATTCTTATTCTAAAAGAGCAAGCATCCAAATGCACACCATGGGAAAATTCCATGAGCGTCTTGTTAGCCACCAGACCTACCAGGGGGAGGAGGTATTTTATGCTCAACATCAGTGGGTTTCTTTGCTTCTGGAATTAGGATAGATTGCTGGGCTCTGAGGTACTCTCAAGAGGCCTCCTAATCCATGCCCCCAGATTCTAAACCAGAACTGCAGAAAGTAACCATAGCTCATGTGGCTTTTTGAGGTCCTACTAGGGCCCTTAAACACTGACTCGTTGGCCGGGCGCAGTGGCTCACGCCGGTAATCCCAGCACTTTGGGAGGCTGAGATGGGTGGATCACAAGGTCAAGAGATCGAGACCATCCTGGTCAACATGGTGAAACCCCGTCTCTACTAAAAATACAAAAAAATTAGCTGGGCATAGTGGCGCGTGCCTGTAATCCCAACTACTCAGGAGGCTGAGGCAGGAGAATTGCTTGAACCCAGGAGGCGGAGGTTGCCGTGAGCCGAGATGGCGCCATTGCACTCCAGCCTGGGTAACAAGAGCGAAACTCTGTCTCAAAAAAAAAAAAAAAAAAAGAAAAAAAAAACACTGACTCGTGTGTCTTGCTGCCTTTTGGGTAGGAATTCCTACACTAATTTCCTCACCCTGCAGGAGAAACCGCCTGTTCTTTGCCCTTCCTGAATTTCCATGGGAAATTCCGTGGGAACCAAGTGTATGTCCAGGTATCTCAGCAGAACCAGGTCAAACGAGGGACCAAGACTCTTTGGAACTTGAGGACTCACAAGCTCAGAGGCTGGGTGACTTTCCCAGTTTTCCCTGTGAGTCATGACTGCTTCGCATCCTCCAGTAGAGTTAAAGAATGTGCACTGGATCTCAGAGATTTTTGGCTGAAGAGCCTTACGTTGATTCTTTGGCAGGAGCTGGCAAGCCCAGCCGAGCCCAGGCCAGGCCCGCTTTTGGCTCCACATTGCCACCTTGCGGCCCCATAGCAAACTCCAAGACACTGCTTTTCCCACTAAAACTGAGCGCAGGGTGGCCCCTTCCCCCAACCACCTCACCCTTTCACTCAAGACAAACACACTTGAATTGTATCTTGCATATCCCATTATTATTGCCCCCAGAAAACTAAAGATCCACAGAAATTTCCTGGATATTAAATCTTTTTATTGCTGAATTTCACCCTGGGTTTCTGACCCAGGAATGAAGTGCTACAGCCTGGGCTGAATTTATAGCCCCATAGTAGATAAAAGACCTATTTACATATGAAACGCAGACACAGTGTCTGCGAAAGTACAGCCTGAACCAAACAACGTAACTAACGATTCTGAGAAATCCTCATAGTCAGCCCATGAACCCCTCCTGCCCTCCTCTGTCCTGCCTGCCCCTCATGTCCTGCTCGTACATAGGTTCTAAGGGGCTAAAGTACTGTCATTCACAGTCACAGGATGGCATACACATTTTACACAAGTGCCCAGCCAGAGGCAGCATTGTTCAGTTTCTCCTGGGGTTTGCCGTCAGAAACGGGATTCGCCCCAGAGAGCACGGAGACCCCTCCTTGCTTCCACAGAGCCCCTCCTTCTTGAACCCTATCCAAGGCTCTTCCACCAGCCCAGACTGTCCAGGCGAGCCTCCTACAAGTCCTGCAGACCTTTCACTCATAGATCCAATGAGATCCACCATTTCCTTCGGGAGCTTCCTGGAATGGGTTCCCGAGGCCCTCAGCCAGTGTGCTGTTGCTCCCCGTTGGCCATATCACAGGACAGAACCAGCTTTCTGGCAAAGATCAAGTGTAGCCTTTCTACGGGAGGAACAAGGAGGGTCCCAAAGCCACCACCGCAAGTAAATTCCCCTTGTGCAATGCAAAACTGAAAATACCATAAAAAATACCATAAGGGGGGGGTCTCTAGAAGGCAAAGGAAAGACAAGGAAGGTGCTTTAGTCAGCCTAGACCCTAGGTATGTCTCCTCTTTTCCTCTCTGTAGACTCTCCTGGGCCAGGGCCCTGGAGGTCACCTCTCAGATGCCATTTGGAGCCAGGCCATTATTCCCGACTCTAACATTTGTTGAGTGTTCTATCTATAGCTACAGTTCAACAAATCCCTCCCAACAAAGTGGGCATTGCTATTTCTATTTCATAAATGAGGAAAGCATTGCTCAGGGAGAGTGGATACCTGGCTTAAGTTGAGACAGGAAGAAAAGGGGTGAGACCAAGATGCAGACCCAGGTCTTTGGGGTACACAGCTGGTGTTCTTTCTACCTCCCAATCACCATGAAGAACAAAGATTGACCAACTCTAGGCATTAGGGTCAGAAACTGTGGTCTAAAGATGGGACATAGGGGTGGGGAGGCCACTTATGTAAGCAGGAGGAGGAGCAGATTCAACAGCCCTGGCTGGCAGGGGAGGCCTCTAAGCCCACTCCACCAGGGCAGATAGACGGGGAAGGAGTATTAGATGTCGGGCTGACATGGGCAACAGAACTCAGCAAGGAGGAGACTATGGGTCCTCCCATCTGCCTGAGCTGTGGTCCCAGGAGGTCCTCACTATCCAGTCCTCTAGCACTGAAGGACTGGGATGCTTTGCTCACTCACAACATTCAGCAAGGCTCTTTTCTTTTTCTTTCTTTCTTTTTTTATTTCAAAGGTGTCACATATTTATTACTGAATCCAGCCAATCAACGTGTCCGTAACAGATTCAGAAAGGAAATTCTGCTCAAAATTCTCCAGATAGTGGTGACATCTTCAGCTTGAAATGATTGTGACCTTCGGATAGCATTAGTATGTGCCATCTCATGTGTAATTCCTTAAGACCCAGCTTGGTTCTTCTCCAATGTCTCCTTTTGGAGTTGTACCTGATTTTATTACAAGTTTCCATCCAAATCCACTGGTAAATGGGATGATTTTGCTTCGGTTTCTTGGGTAGCAATCGCTTAGTTCTGAAAGTCTTGTGAGAAGACATGGCTGAAGTGAAGTAAAGCACACACCACGATGGCAGAGAAAGGAGGAGAGAAGGCTCTTTTCTTTCTCAAAGCCTCAGGAGGCTTCTTAGAGCTGAGTGGCCTCTTAAAAAAGCATATCTGCAAAGCCACAGTCATTCCTCAAAGCTTCCCTGGGAATCAGGGATAGAGAGTGAAAGTGTTCCCTAGAGATTCCCTGAGGAGCTCTTCATTAGATCAGTAAGTCCTTACGTTAGTATAGAGTAGATGGCTTTACAAACGACTTTCATATCCACAGTCCTATTCGATTCTCAGAACCAAGCTGGTAAGGACTGGCCAGCATTTTATTGATGTGTGTCATTGTTGGTAGCAGGACGGAGATGCAGCTCTCCTGACATTTCAGCTGATGTCTTTTCCACCGGCAAGGCTCTCTCTTCAATCGGAATCAGAATTGGGGTGGGGAAGCTGCCCCATGATAAGAGTCCCCTGGAGATAATGAGGAAAAGCATGGCACAGTCCCAGATTCTGCCTTGGCCTGCAGTCTCTTCCTGACTCGGAGGAGGATTCGGCATTCCAGATGAGGACAAAAGTGGACAGTATGGCCATGGTGGGACCCACCATCACCAGAATTGAGTCAAAGAGTATATAAATGTCACTGTCATAAAAATCCAACAACTCATGGCTGAGCATGGGGGCTCACGCCTATAATCCTACTTTGGGAGGCTGAGTGGCAGATCACAAGGTCAGGAGTTTGAGAACCGCCTGACCAACATGATGAAACCCTGTCTCTACTAAAAATACAAAAATTAGCCAGATGTGGTGGTGCGCACCTACAGTCCCAGCTACTCGGGAGGCTGAGGCACAAGAATCACTTGAACCAAGGAGATGGAGGTTGCAGTGAGCTGAGATCGCATCACTGTACTCCAGCCTGAGTGACAGAGTAAGACTCCGTCTCAAAAAAAAAAAAAGAGAAAAATCCAACAACTCTTCTAGACCCTGTTGGTTACAATATTCTTCATGTTTTTCTGTAACACCATTTTCAATCTTGCAGAGTCATGGTAGATTGGAGCTCAGAGATCTGAGTCCTAGAAAGAGACAGTGACTTACCCAACATCACACAGATACTTAAGGCAGAGCTGAGATTCAAACCCAGGCTCCTAACTGGATCACAGCATCCATATGATTCATGTTGGAAGTTCTGAAGAGCCTGGAGGGTGTCCAGAGCCATGACGATGTCACCTTTTCCCAAAGGAGGTCTCTGTGTAGCCCCTGGAGAAGGAGCAGGCTCGACTCCCTGGGGATGGGTTGGGGAAAGGAGGGAAGACAACAAGTCCCTCTGCCTTTGAAGTTACTTCCTGCTGTTAATTTTCTGATGATCATTTCCATCTCCTCCTTCCCTTCCTCTTTGTTCCCACCTACATTCACAGTGGACCAGACCGCAGAGAATATACAGCACTTTCCCCTGTCAGCCACCCTGTCACGGGGGCTGGCATGGGGAGAAGAGGAACTGGCATTTGCAGAGTTCCTGCTAGGTACCAGGTGCTGTACTGAATCCCGCATCTTTATGAGACCATCTCCCTTCCACAGACAGCTGGGCACAGCGGGGGAAGCCCCAAATACCCATTCACTTTTCTTCATGAAACAATCTTCTCTCTACCAAAAAAAAAATCCAGGATCCGAATAGAATCCTCCTCACAGTTTTTCACTTCTCCCCTCTTCTGGTTAGGCTAAGATGTGCCAGTCAGGTTAGAATGGGGACAGGTAGCCAGGGCACAAGGCCAGCCTCTGGGTTCCTGCCACCCATGGACCCCTAGACAACCCCATCCTAGGCCTGCCCAGATCTGGGACACTGTATGCATGGACACCTGTGAATATGGCAGGGCCAGGGAGACAGAGTTTGATTCTTCCTGGCCACCAGCACCTGCGATTGGGAGCTCATGAGGCAGTCCTCAAACTAGGGACAGCTGTGACACCAGGGTTGGGGGCCCATTCTGGCCTTTTCACCTTGCTTCAGACAGGGCTCCCTTAACTCCAAGCCTGACCCTCCCAGCTTTCATGCCCAGTGCCCGAGGTGGGCAGAGAAACTCCAGTAGTCCTGGGGGCAGTGCCAGACCCCAGGGAGTCTTTTCTAGAAGATGTTGGTCTCAGCAGTGGCTTCCCCATCCGCTGGCTCCAAGTCCCTTGGTGACTGTTCAGGTCTGGGTTTCCCACTGAGGGTTAGGCTGAGGCTGAGGCTGAGGGTGGCGGGGCAGCTGGAGCGGGTCAGCAGTGTGGTATGGCGGCTCGAGAGGCTGCCGTTGGAGAGCCGCCGGCGCATCCGGGGCTGGGGACCCCCACAGCAGGCAAGGTGATGCAGGGGCCACGGTAACAGGTGGCTGTTGAAGCCCATGTAGATCCAGGGGTTACAGCAGCTGCTGAGGTTGCCCAAAAGCATGGAGATGGTGGAAGCCACATTGGTGGAATCTACCAAGAGAGAAGCACAAGAAGCCTGAGAATGATAGCTCGAAGGGACCTGCAAGAGCGTCCAAGCACCACAGAGGAGGAATGGACGAGGAAACTGAGTCCTACAGAGGAAAAGGTAGTCACTCAGGGTCCTATAATTAGAGAGACACACAGCCGAGACTTGAACCTGGGACTCCTGGCTCCAGAGTCTTATCATGCTGATTTTGTTTGCTTTTGTTGTGCAGGGTGAAGGTAGGAGTTGAGGTTTGCTTCAAGTTTAATTGAGAAGAAGGAATGTTGTCAGGGATAGGATCAGCCCGGATAGAAGAAACTGACTTTGTTCCAAAAGCTGGACCTTGAGCCCCTAATGGATGTAGACACAGAATGAGACAACTTCTATGAAACAGGCAGGAAAAATAACCAAGCTCAGGCCCTTCCATCTCCATCCCCACTAAACATCACAGATCATGGATTCACATGGCCCTCTGGACTCTGTCTCCCTCTATCCCTCGGGGGCAGGCCCACTCATTCTATATTCAGTCATTGAGTGTGTGGGCACCAACTCTACCTGGCCTTGAGCTGGGGACCTGATGGGGCAATCAGTGGAGTCTGACTGCCCTGCAGACACCTATGCCACCATTGCCACCTGTGGCAGATCAGGCAGCTTCTGCACACTGGGCCTCCAAGCGTCCCCCTCCAAACCAGAACATGTTCAGTGTTCTTAGACTGTGCCCAGGGAATGCACTTTTCTGCAGGGAAAAAATAATTTCTCTGTTGGGCAGTCAAAATGTGAGGATGCCAAGGCTGATAAATTCCTTCCAGACAAAATATTCTTTCTGAAGACTAAATGAGATCCTCATGCCAACAGGAAAGCTGCAGGGATGAGCCACGGCCTCCTGCTAGGTCTGCTGTGGTTACAGCCATGGCCTAGGTGCTGTGCTGAGTCATCTTGCTCTTCAGTGGAGGCTGTAGAATCATTGAAAGCAATTTCAGAGCTGGAAGGAACCTTAGAAGTAAGCTTTCTAGTTTTTATAGCACAATTAATAAGAGCTGCAACTCAAACCCAGGTCTTTCAGCTCTAAGGTAGAGATTCTACACCCCACCAGAGCTTCAACCAGCAAAACAGAAGGTAAAGCTAAGTGTCTACTCTGCAAAGCACTGGGAACACTTCGGATACACTGGTTCCTCATGCACGTGTCCCAGGGGTATGCTCATGGGTGTGGTAAATCACGGCTCAAGAGAAGGGAAGACACAGGGTGAGAACATTTGATAGAGGGCATGAGTTATAGGGGTGGGAAGCTGAAGGTATCTGGGCCTGCGTGGACCAGTTCAGGGAACAGCAGTGAAGGCAGTGGAAAGTGCCTGGAAGGTATGATTGGGTTTGGATATCGGCTGGGCGCAGGGGCTCACGCCTGTAATCCCAGCACTCTGGGGGGTCAAGGTGGGTGGATCACCCGAGGTCAGGAGTTTGAGACCAGCCTGACCAATATGTTGAAACGCTGTCTGTAATAAAAATACTAAAAATTAGTCAGGCATGGTGATTCGCACTTGTAATCCCAGCTACTCGGGAGGCTGAAGCAGGAGAATCACTTGAACCCAGGAGGCAGGAGAATTGCTTGAACCCAGGAGGCAGAGGTTGCAGTGAGCCGAGATCACACCATTACACTCCAGCCTGGGTGACAAGAGCAAGACTTTGTCTCAAGGTGGGGGAAAGAAAGGCGAGAAAGAAAGAGATATGGTTTGGATGTTTGTGACCTCCAAATCTCATGTTGAAATGTAATCCCCATTGTTGGAGGTGGGCCTGATGGGAGGTGAATGGATCACAGGGGTGGACCCCTCATAGATGGCCTCATGCATTTCTTTGATGATACGTGAGTTCTTGCCCAGTTAGTTCACATGAGATCTGGTTGTTTGAAAGTCTGGGACCTCTCCCTTCTTTCTCCTGCCCTCTCTTGCCATGTGATACACTAGCTTCCTCCTTCAGCTTCTGCCATGATTGGAAGCTTCCTGAGGCCCTCGCTAGAAGCAGATTCTAACCCTATGCTTCTTTTTTATTTTCTTTTTGAGACAGGGTCTCGTTCTGACCCTCAGGCTGGAGTGCAGTGTGTGATTATGGCTCACTGCATCCCTGACCTCCTGTGCTCAAGCAATCCTCCTACCTCAGCCTCCTAAGTAGATGGGACCACAGGGGTGAACCAGTGCACCACCACACCTGGATAATTTTTTTTATGTTTAGTAGAGATGAGGTCTCACTGTATTTCCCAGGTTGATTTTGAACTCCTGGAATCAATTGATCTTCCCACCTCAGCCACCCAAAGTGCTGGAATTACAGGCATGAGCTGCCACACCCAGCCTGGCAACATGCTACTTGTACAGCCTCCAGAACCATAAACCAAAATAAACCTCTTTACTTTATAAATTTCTCAGCCTCTTGGTCAGGTGCAGTGGCTCATGCCTGTAGTCCCAGCACTTTGGGAGACGTAGGCGGGCAGATCACCTGAGGTCAGGAGTTCGAGAGCAGCCTGACCAACATGGTGAAACCTCATCTCTACTAAAAATACAAATGAGTGGGGTGTGGTGGGTGCATGCCTATAATCCCAGCTACTCAGGAGGCTGAGGCAGGAGACTTGCTTGAACACGGGAGGTGAAGGTTGCGGTGAGCCAAGATCACACCATTGCACTCCAGCTTGGGCAACAAGAGTGATACTCCATATCAAAAAAAGAAAGAAAAAAAATTTCACAGTCTCAGGTATTCCTTTACAGCAATGAAAATGGACTAACACAAGGGACAAACCTCAAAAACAAACTCAGCCTCCTTCCATTTTCCTGGGTTCCAGCCTGCTCCCTAGGTAATGCGTAACTCCAAGCTGCGGAAGATCTGGGAAGTGGCTTTGGCTGAGGGTACAGCATTCATCCTGTCTGCTCCGTTGACACACGTTTAGTGTCCAGATTAAGCCAGAGACAAAGGAGTTCCACAGGTTCCTTCATTTAGGAAGTGTCTGTTTGGTTTGGCTCATCTGAGCCAGGCCTTGGTAGAGGCTGGAGATGTGCCACAGACGAGGTGCCACAGGGAGGTGCCAGAGTCAATGGAGGCTGTGCTTCCCAGCCCTTGAGGGTAGATCTACCATACCCAGTCCAGGCCTCCATTGCCTCCTGCCAGAAACTCAGATGATGGTCGGGGACAGGGGCGGGGATGAGGAAACAGGGAGGGGAACTGGCTGTACTGGAAAGCAAGTTTAAAGTAATGAATTTCTGCCCCAAGGACTTTCATTTCTCTGGGAGCTCACTGTCTGTAAGATAACCCTTTGGAACAACCCACTGTCTCATGCATTCCTTGCCCAGAGATGCCCTTGGTAAGTGACGAACCATTCTATGCAAGCGAGGGCTGAGGTATAGAGGAACAGGCTGATGATGATGGTGGACACCACGGGCAAGCAGAAAAGTCTGCACTGGCAGAGTGACAGGAGCACCATCTTCTCAATAAAGGGGCAGATGACCAGCTCACCCCTGGTGCCACTGGCTAAGCCACAGTGTTGGGAGTAAAGCCACGACCTGGATAAAGCTTGGCCCATAAAGACCTCAATTCAAGCTTGACCTCTATCTCTCACTAGCAGTGGCATTTTGGACCAGTTATCTTACCTCTCTGAGTCTCAAGTGACTTAAATGTAAAATACAGAAGACGGCCACTCCTCAATAGCAGGAGGGCTGAATGCGCTAGGAAACCCTAGAAAACCCTCCTTCCTTCTATTCTGTGCTTGGCGAGAGCATGGAGGTCCCTACAGTGGGTTAGAATTAATATGACCATTGCTTAAAGGATAGTCTGAAAATAGTCTCCAGAAGGGTGATGAGGAAAGGATGCGCTGGAAGCTTGGTATAACTTTTGCATTCTCTTGCATGGTTGTGTTCAATTCATGAATGGCTCTCCCTATTTCATCTCTCCACAAAAGCAAAGCGTTTGGCTTGAGCATGTCCTGGGATGAGCAAACTGAGATTAGAAACAACAAGGCAAAGGAAGGGGACAACTTCCTTGGGGCAGGTGGGAATTGGTGGCCTGAGACTGCTGGTTAGTGAACTCTCAGGAAGCTTCCAGAAGAACCTGTGCACAGGACCTGCCTAGGACACTTGCAGGTTGTACCCACTATACGTCCTGAGCTGTGTGCACTGTAAGATGCACTGCGGGGCACAATCACCCCTCCTCAGAGCCACCCAGACAAGTCAGCATGCACTTCTTCCCGTGCCTGACTCCTGCTTAGAGGAGCAGAAGCAGCTGTTCTGAATACTGCTCCCTCACACTTAGGCTGCCCAGACACAGCCCCAGCCTTCCTGAGAACAAGTTCATCTCTGGATGCCCAGACCATCAGCCAGTGTCTAAAGTGCAGGAGGCCTCTGTCTACCACACCCCAGAAAAATGATGACAGCCAGGCCTCCCGTGTGCCAACCGGAACACAGTCCTCTTAGAGGTGCCCATTTTGTTTTTCACGCAGAAGAAAGGTCTCCCTCCTTTTAGAACCACTTTGGGGATCAGGATTATGAATGGGGTTGAGGAAAAAGACAAGGAGACAGAAGACCTGGGCTTTATCCTTCACTTGTCACTCCCAATCGGTGAGGCCTGGGGCAAGTCATGGTTCTGAGGCGGGAGAATAGTAGAGGGAATCGGAGGCCGGATAAGAGGTGGAATGAGTAGGAGCAGAAGCAGGATAAAGAGGAGGGTGCAGAAGTTGAGCCAAAACAAAAGTTATATGAAGTCAAGAGCCCCATGGTTGGCTGGATCCAGACCAAACCAGTAAGGGGCGGCTCCTCAGAGACAGGCATGTGTAGTAGAGAAAAAGTATCTCTAAAATGACCCCTCATGAGAATCAGCTCATTAAAGCTCATGCATAGGTACTCATAGCATGTATGTACTTAAAATTATGAGATGCCGGCCACGTGCAAGTGCACAAGGGCCAATGTAACTCAGCAACCCACCTATCCAACAAAAGGCAGACACTGGCTAAAGGATTAGGCAGCTGGGCAAAGAGAAAAGGAACACATAAGAAGATCCAAAGCACAGCAAGCTGACGCGGGTCTCACTCACAGAGGTCACTCACTCTCCCCTCTCCCGGAGTGTTACCGAGCTTAACAAACTTTTGCTACTTTGTTATTTGTGCTTGTCACATCCAGTTCTTTGTTTGTGGTACCAAGAACCTGGGACTTTACCACATTAACCTGTAACAGTTCCTCTCTGAGCCTCTGTTTCTCATTAGTAACATGAGGAGGATGAGCTGGAAATTTCAGGCTTTTCATGTGCCAACCCTAATTAACTGGAACTGTCTGTTGAGAAGGAGCTCAAAGTCACATACAGGTATGGGAGAAAAGAGGCTGAAAGAGCAAATTCATGGGCCACAAATTGCTGTCATTCTATAATTTTAAATCCCATCTAGCAAACTGGTAGTTGGTGGGCAAATGTGCTAATGGGCATATTTCACTGGTACCACAGAGCATTTTTAAATTGTTAGTTACCAAAATTTTTAAAGCTGGAAATTTCACATAAAAGATACTGACATGGCATCGGTAGGCTGAATGGAAGTCATAACTGCCTCTTTTCATGTGGAGCAGGCACCATCTTTCTTAATTGCCCCACTAGTTTGTCACCTGCCTGGCCCTGGGAGGCATTGTAACCTTGTCCTAATCCCCCATCCTCTCTTTCTGCTTACTCCCACCTCACTGCCCCCACACAGACCCCACACTTGCCTTCATGAGAGGCATTCTCATCCCACACGGACCACATCTGGACACTGAAGAAGGGAGCCCAGCAAGCAATGTAGGCCAGCACGATGACAAAGGTCATCTTCACTGTTCGGATCTTGGCCCGTGAGATGGTGCTGATGCTGCTGACCCGGGATGGCAGCCCCCGAGTGGCAGCAACTGGGGCCGAAGGTGAGCGTCTCCAGTTCCTTCCTCCTACCTGCCAGGCCTGTGTCTTGACTTTGAGGTTTTTACAGATCTCATGGCAGATGAGGCTGTAGCAGGCTGTGAGTATGGTCACTGGCAGGATGAAGATGGCCAGGGTGGTCCAGGTAAGGTAGACCCGTGGCCCCCAAGGGAAGCGGAAGTCTGCCCAGCAGTCCAGCACCCCCGAGCCCTGGCTCACCTCCTTCAGGGAAAAAATGAAGACCTGAGGGAGGCTGAGGATGGCGGCCAGCAGCCAGGGAGCAGCGATGAGTGGATAGGTGGACTGGCCAGGCTGCTGGAGGCTGCGCAGGGGGTGACAGACAGCCAGGTAGCGGTCCAGCGTCATGGCCAGCAGCATGTAGGTGGAGGCGAACATGCTGAGCACCTGCAGGTACTTGACAGCCCGGCACAGGAGGTCAGGGCCCTGGAAGCGGAAGGTGATGTCCCACATCAGCTGGGGCAGGACCTGGAAGAGCGCCACGGCCAGGTCTGTCAGGGCTAGGTGCAGCACGAACAGGTGCATGCGGGAGCGCTTGCGGCCTGGCTGGCCCAGGGTTAGCAGCACAGCCAGGTTGCCCCCGGTGGCCAGCACCAGGACAGTGGCCAGGACTCCGATCTCCACCTTGGCCACCTCCTCATCCCGGCCCAGCCAGGGTGTTGTGGCATTGGGGGCAGAGAGGGTGCCCCCAGAGGTGGGGTTGGCATTCCGCAGAGGCTCAGAATCCATGGGCAAGGTTTGCTGAGGGGCAATGATGGAGGGATTGGCATCCCGCAGAGGCCCAGAATCCATGGGCAAGGTTTGCTGGGAGGGAAGGATGGAGGGAGGGTGTGGATGCAAGTGGAGAGGTTTGATGGATAAAAGGGAGTGGCAAGGAAAAGGTTGAAGGTGGAGAGAAAGGGAAGTGTGAGAATGACAGGGAGAATGCTTGCAAATTGGTGGAAATCGTTCAGAGGACAGGGATAGAGAGGAGGAAGGAGGATGAGATACGGAAAGGAGGAAATGTGGCTGGGATCGCCAATCCCAGTGCAGAGAGGGGACCCAGGAGAGAGAGGAGGGGTCACGGAGATGCAGAATCACGACCTGAAGAATCAGGGAGGCTGTGCAGATTGAGGCTTCTGGAAGGGAAAAAAGGCTGGGGAGCTGCTACCAATCTCAAATCCACCTCAAATTCACTTTCTCCAAACTTTTCTGGAAGCCGAGAGCGGAAGCCTTTCAGCCTGCTTGGAGGCGGACGCGGTCCGGGGCCGTCGGTGTCGCGCTCAGGACTGGAAGTCCCAGCCAAACCCGCGCGCTCTGCCGGGTGAGCAGCGGCGGGAGCGCAGCGGCCCGGGCGGGTTTTATGGGCTCCCAGGCCGAGCCCCGAGGCCCGGCTCGCCAGTTGGCTCCTGCAGAGGAGGGCGGAGTGAGGCTCGCAAGCCTCCCACCTGGCGGGAGGACCCAGAGACCGGCTGCTGTAGGGAGGGGGGCCCGAAGGGGCGGCGGACGAGGGACAGGGAGCGAGAGAAGCGGGCGACGCAGGCCAGCGCCCAGCAGCCCGCAGCACCGACCGACCCGCAAGCAGGCAGATAAGCGCCTCTGCGCACTCACCCTGGAACTCTCGGGCGGTTTCTCGACAGGTGCATCCCCGGGAGGTGGTGAGGGGCGGTCACTCCTCCCACCTACCGTGGAGACACTTAGGCTGGCGGCTCTGTTGGCGCGCCCCCTGCCAGCCGGCTAGCCGACGCAGGCTCCACAAGCTTCAGGGGTGGCCAGGTGGGCGAGGCGGCACCCCTGATGGACAGTCACCTGGAAGTGACGTCTGACCGCAGACCCTGTTGAGGCACTGCTAGGCATAGGGAGAGGAAGAGAAAGTGAGATTTGCGGAGGTAGGGGGCGGAAGAAGCTAGACCTGGGAGCCCTGGTGCGCTTGACGGGCGGGGACAGCAGGAGAAATTCCCGGTATTTGCATCCTCAAGGGACGTCTTAACTTCTGGCCTCTGTGCTTTTCCTGCCTTAGGTGCGTCCATATCCTAAACGCAGTTAACCACTCTGCCAGGTAGAAAACAGGCCCAGAGAAGTTCAAGAACTTGCTTTAGAAGATTATTGAACGAGTAAGCAGCAGAGGCCGGTCTAGAACCAGGGCCAGGTGCCATTGTGATAGCACAGCAGCAGCACTTAAACACCTAACCGGCTCAGCTAAATTCTGTGTGAGAGGCACTGGTGCTGAGGATTAAAATAAAAACAAAACACCATCCAGTCCAGAGGCAGCTTACAGCTCAGTAGAGAAGGTATGGTGTGGTATTGGCTGTGAAATCCACTTTATCTTCAGTACGCAAGATGGACTATTGGGACTCTCCCTAGAGCGGATTAGAAGTTAGGAGTGACATGGCCGGCCGCAGTGCTGACACCTGTAATCCCTGCACTTTGGGAGGCCAAAGTGGGTGGATCAAAGTGGGTGGGAGGTCAGGAGTTGGAGACCAGCCTGGCCAACATGGTGAAACCCTGTCTCTACTAAAAAATACAAACATCAGCCGGGCATGGTGACACGTGCCTGTAATCCTAGCTACTGGGGAGGCTGAGGCAGGAGAATCACTTGAACCCAGCTGTTGTAGGCTGTTGTCTTCATTCCATCCCATGGCCCCTTACCATTTAGCTACCTAAAATAAGGTAGCATGCTCCTTTTGTGCTTTGGAGCCGAAGCTTCCACCTTCCCAAGGAGTTTGCTCTTTATGAGTGGTTTTCAGTCTCTCTCTTTCCCACCCATTTGCAAACAAGCTCTAGTAACGTTCATTTAAAAAGAAAATTATAACTCTCATCAGCCACTATACTCCCACTTCCAGCTATTACAATCCCTTCCATTTCACAGCAGAACTTCCCAAAAGGGCTGTCTATGCTTGTCCCCATTCTCTTACTCCCAATAAATGATACATTGTACTATTCTGGAAATTGCTTTTTAAATTCTACATTATGATCAGGTGTGGTTGGTCATGCCTATAATCCCAGCACTTTGGGAGGCCAAGGTGGGTGGGTCACCTGAGGTCAGGAGTTCAAGACCAGCCCGGCCAACATGGTGAAAACCCGTCTTTACTAAAAATACAGAAATTAGCTGCTTGGGAGGCTGAGGCAGAAGAATCTCTTGAACCCAGGAGGTGGAGGTTGCAGTGAGCTGAGATCGAGCCATTGCACTCCAGCCTTGGCGACAAGAACGAAACTTCGTCTCCATAAATAAATAAACAAATAAATTCTACGTTATTTTTGAGATCTGTCTATGCTGATACATAGGCTAGATCTAGTTCATTTATTTTTAACTACTGCATAGTATTTAAGCATGTGGATACAGCACATTTTGTTCACCAGAAATTTATCCAACTTTTATAATTTATTTCCAGCTTTTCCTCCTGTTTATTTTTATTTTAAAATGCTACAGTGAATGTTCTCATATGCCTCCTTGTGTTCATGTATCAGAATTTCTCCCAGGTGTATATCTAGAAGTATATGCTGAGTATAAGTACTGTTGTTATATAATGTATGAGTTTTCAACTAATTAGGACCATATCCTGAATTTTTTTTTTTTTTTTTTTGAGATGGAGTTTCACTCTTGTTACCTAGGCTGGAGTGCAATGGCACGATCTCAGCTCACCACAACCTCCGCCTCCTGGGTTCAGGCAATTCTCCTGCCTCAGCCTCCTGAGTAGCTGGAATTTCAGGCACACGCCACCATGCCCAGCTAATTTTTTTTGTATTTTTAGTAGAGACGGGGTTTCACCATGTTGACCAGGATGGTCTCGATCTCTCGACCTTGTGATCCGCCCGCCTCGGCCTCCCAAAGTGCTGGGATTACAGGCTTGAGCCATTGCGCCCGGCCTATATCCTGAATTTTATCTCACATTATTTGTACTAAATAGTTGTCCAACCAGCTGCATTTTAGTTTCCCAACATCTTCACATTCAGACTTTTTAATTTCTATCAGTCTGATAGGTGTAAAATAGTATCTCATTTTGTTTTATTTCTCTGATTACTAAGTATTTTGAGTATCTCTCCCTGTATTTATTCATTGTTTGGATTTTCTCTTCTGTGAATTATTTATATCTTCTGCTCGGCTTTTTACTAGGTTGTTTTTCTTATCAAATTGTAAGATGCCTATATATTCTGATATGAATTTTATATATTCTATATAATATATATGTTGAAAATCTCTTCTCTAATCTGTCACTATCTTTTTACTTTGGATGGGGTCATTTGTTACACAGAAAATTTAAATTATAATGCAATCAATACTTCCTTTTATTATTTCAGCTTTTTGTGTCTTGTGTTCTTTGTGCCTGTGTAATTTGAGAATATAAATATTTCCCTTTTTATTTTCTTCTAAAAAATTTAACTTTTATTTTTCATATTTAGAGCTTTAAGCCATCTGGAATCTATTTTCATGTTGTGTGTGGATTAAGAATGTAACTTCATTTTTTCCCCCACATGGCAAACCAGTTACTCCATTTATTGAATTGTCCATCATTTCTCAGCTATCATCTCTATAATATATTATTTCAAATTTTATATGAGGCTATTTCTGGAATCTCTAGTCTATTCTATTAATTTATTTTTCTATCCCTGTCCTAGTATTTCACTGTTTTAGGTGCGACAGCTTTCTAATGAGCCTTAATACTTGGTAAAAACATGCCTCCTTTGTTCTTATTTTTAAAATGTTTCTCACAATTTTGAAATATTGAAATCTGGTATCAGTTTATCAAGTTCCCAAAAAGCTCTGTTGTTGAGCTTTTTGGTTTGAGGCATTGAACTTTAGAGATTAATCTGGGAGATAATTGATATATTTATTATTTCATTCAAGTATATTCTTACATCCTTCAATAACGTTTTATAATTTTCTTTATAAATGTTTTCTCATCTTTTGATAGATTTATTTCTGTGTACCTTACAGTTTCTGTTGCCATTGTATATATAATTTTGTACTGTCACATTTTCTAGTTACTATCGATTATTGCCAGTATATAGGAACAATGTTGATTTTTGTGTCTTGCTTTTATATCCAGCAGTTTTCCTGCAGTTTGTAAGTAATTTTGGATTATCTATACATACAATATTGTCTGCAAACAACAATATTTTTTCTCCCAATCTATTTAGCTCTTCTTTTTCTTGTCTTATTGTGAAGGCTAAGACTCCAATACAATGTCAAAGAGCACACATCATTGCTGTTTCTACCTTTAATGAGAATGCATCTAAAGTTTCACCATTATGTATTATATTTATGCTAGGTCCTCTTCACTTTTTAATTTTTAAAATTACTTATTTTTACACACACATAAAGATTCAACTGATTCTACAGTAGTTGTTATGAGGAAAAGTAATTTCCCCATACTAATATTTTTCAATTTCCTATTTTTCATTTTCTTCCCTTTTTTAATTTTTTTACTTAAAAAAAAAAAGGTAACCATACATAAAAGCAGAGAGAATAGCATGAGGAAATCCCATGATTCCATCATCCAGCTTTAACAATTACCAACAGATAGTCTGTTTCATCTAAAATCTCTATCCATTTCCTTCCATCCTAAGATTATTTTGAAGCAAATGTCAGACATCGTATCATTTTATATGTATTTCATATATGTATTTCTAAAGGGTAAGGACTTTTTTTTTGAGACGGAGTTTCACTCTTGTTACCCAGGCTGGAGTGCAATGGCATGATCTTGGCTCACCACAACCTCCGCCTCCTGGGTTCAGGCAATTCTCCTGCCTCAGCCTCCTGAGTAGCTGGGATTACAGGCATGTGCCACCATACCCAGCTAATTTTTTGTATTTTTAGTAGAGACAGGGTTTCACCATGTTGATCAGGATAGTCTTGATCTCTTGGCCTCACAATCCACCCACCTCAGCCTCCCAAAGTGCTGGGATTACAAGGACTCTTAAATATAACTACAACACCTTACCATCCTTGCATTAGTCAGTGTTCTCCAGAGAAACAGAACCAACAGGAGATGTGTGTGTGTGTGTGTGTGTGTGTGTGTGTGTGTGTATGTGTCCAGAAAGAGAGAGAGAGAGAAGACTTATTATAAGAAATTAGCTACATGATTTATAG